AGGTTTACAGGGTAAAATTAGCGAGTTACAACCCCACCTTTTAGCATTACATCCTACCAAAAAGAGATCTCTTCAAACCAAAAAAATCCCATTTATATCAAGGCAAGAACCAAAAAAGGGCCCTCAAACAATACATGTTCAGAAAAGGATCTGAACCCCCAATAATCCTCATACTGTTTCATCAAACAAGCTCACGCACAAGTCAGCATTTTGAAAAGTCTAGTAATCACTTTTAAGACAATAACTCAGGTCAAAAAAGTTCACTACAGGCCTCTTGTTGAATCTGCATTTTTACTATGTAAAAAATAATCATTTTTAAAGTGTGCAAAAATAATTTAATCCGTTCCCAAGCCAAGCTATTTGGAAAGTTTTTTGGCACTCAATTCAATATAACATTCCGAGAGGGACTTTTAACATTTCAAAAAAAGCTATCAGAGATATGATCTCACATATATTACGAGGACAGGATGGGTAATGTTGAAATAGTACGTTCCATATAACAACTTCAAAAACTAAACATAGTTGAAAGGGGTCAAACAAGACTTAACTGATACAGCCCGCAACGCCGCACACACTGGCGACTGTCTCCAGCGTCTTGACGCAGACCCGCTCAGAGTAGCTCTTATATATTGCTACCTTTCTTCACATCACTTTCTTCTCTTCTTTTCCCCTTACCATTAACATTTCAACCCTTTTTTTTTGGTGTCATTAATAGTAACTATTATTCTTAACATCTACATATGCCACACACAGGTTTGATCAAATTTAGATATTTCTTTATTTACTTTTTGTTTGACCACGGGTGAGGTCACGAAGCGGTCACAAATTATTTGCGGGCTGAATCAGTTAAGAACAAATTTCAATACTTGCCACTGAACTAACAGTGTTGAATTAATTTCCCCCTTCACACACGCACAAAAATAAGTGGAAAGACAAAAGCAACAAGGAAAACGCAGCCACTTCTCTCTTTTGGTCACTGACACCTTTCTTTTTTTTGTCAAGCCTGTGCACTACATTTTTAAATTTTATTACCAAAGTGCGTACAAAACTATTAAAAAAAGCATGAGTAACCCTGCCCTACTTACCCTAGAAAACTGGGGTTGGTTTTTTTGTGGTTTTTTTATGCTTTCATTAATTTGATAACCAAAAAAAATTGTAAAACAAAATGTGTCATGACGCAGTGGAATCAGGCGCTTGTCAATTTTTGGGCATGTGGAGTTATTGGTATCATTTTAAAGCTAGTTCATTTGCCTTGCTTTCGATGAAAGAATTACCCATTTATCTTGAGAACATGTTGAGATACTTGTGATTGAATGACGTGGAGTCGCCTGGTTTCAGAAGTAAAATTTGTGAGGAAATGGCTGCCAAAGTTTGGTTATTTACGAAGTCTAAGAGTCCAAGGAAACTGACAATTTACATTTTGTATGCCTTTCAACATTTTCCAATATCATTCAAACTGAAATGGGTCTAAAATGGACATAGGTGTTGAGCTAAAAAAAACCCACCATAATTCCGATAAAATTTGCAAACCAGCAGAAAAGTTTAACGTTTTTTTACTTTCACTATTTTGACCAGCGCCTGATTCCACCATGCTGCCTCACAAATACTGGCACCGCAATAAATTCAATAAAAAATTTATGAGTACCAGTACAATAAGGAGGCGAACGGTTGATAGAGCTACTGAAAAGTCATTTATCAGAGACAGGACAGTCTACAGCACCACAAATTAACATCCAAATCCATAACTATTCTAACCAAAATGAGTCCTTTCCACTAACAAAAAAGGTTTTCATCAATATTCATTTAGTATGCATTATAATGGTCTCTACATTATTTTGAGGAGATGAAGAAAGAAAAGAAACCCAAGAACAGAAAAAGACTAGGCCAACATGTATATAAAAAAAACCTTTACACTACTGGCAATCATTCCAAAAAAGAACCTAGATAGGCATTTAAGATTCAGTCTCTTTTTACCCCAAAAAACTTTGACTCTCTCGGAAAACGGAAATATCACTCCAAAAACTTTAAAAATTTGCAGCTTTCAAGAGTCCTTCAAAATCTAAAAACCACAGATGATGACCAGAAGACTAAAAAAAATGGACAAGCACAAAGACAAAACAAACTTTCTCGTCCCAAAAGCTAGCAACCACCATCAACCCATATGCATGTGTCACGTGTCACAGTGCCCCTATTGCTTATGGCTTTGATCAGAACCTACTCTGCTTTCAGGTCGTGTCTGTAATATTAGTACCATTACACTAATCCATCTTTTTACATTCCCTACAACAAGGGCCATTCCATGTACGTGTATCACACACTATTAACATACTTAAAACACTGATGCTACTTTTGCCCTTTGAGTAAATACCAAACGCAGCAGTTCACGCAGGAAGATGAAAGCTCTTTTCTCACTAAATACTCACTGCTGCTTACAGAGTATTTCCCGTCATATTTTTAGTGTACACATGTTCCTAAATTTCTAGCATGATTACAATCTTGGGCTCGAGTCCTGTCTTTGGCTATTTGGGTGGAGTTCCTTGGAAAGGGCAAGCCACTGTCCTCTTTACCCTCACACTATACGGGTGTGAAATGGGCATCACTTTTACTTTTACTGCACTCGGAAAGTAAACCTTCGACAGCCTAGCATCTTGTCAAGGAGGCGACTTTGTGCCATGGAACACTTAACACCATTGGAACTGGTATTGTGAGCCTTTAGTTAAGGTCTTGAAGGCATTTTTTAAAACTATAATTTCTAGTCCTCCACCCCTCCTCCCCGCATAGTAGATATCTCTCCCCCCAAAAAAACTTATTGGTTTTGTCCCTTTGTTCATGTTTTTTCTTTTTTTTTTCTTTTCCAAAATGACAAATCAGTAGTTCAACAACTCGAAGTATGCCAATTTTCAAAATTGCTTTACCATGGCCATAGATTATTCGTCACAAATCTTCAATGTGAGTATCGGACTGTAAATGTTTTGTTTACAGTCCCATCCTCAAATAAAAACGGTAAGTGATGAAGTAAGACCTGCGACCAAGGAAAAATGTGGCATACTGGTTTCTTGAAATGAACCGTCAAAATGATCTAAATTTTTGTTACATGTCTTTTCCCAAATCCTACTTGACCAGAGAAACAAACCATGAATTCTGTTCTTAATTAATTTTTCTCATCAAATTTTTGCGACTTTCAACCTTGCTGGAGTGTCTTCTTTATCGCTAACATTGATATTCCAATCGATGAGTGAGTACTTTAAGTTTTAAGTGGGAGAAATATCAGTGAGATTTTTGCTGCATTTGCCAGTTTAAGAATGCATGTCTTCCAAAGTGTGAGAAGAGCCAAAAACTTTTTTTCAAACCCATAAAAGTCAGGATTGTCAACCATGAGACATTTACTTAGCTTAGGGCGGGGGAATCAAGATTTGACTCACTTCAAGAGAATAAAAACTTTCATAATGTCCTGTTTCACTTTTCATGAAATGACTGGAATGGCCAAAAGGTAAAAACCCTGCTAGAATATTTCTGCTCTTCCATTTCAAATTTCAACCATCTGTATAACACTTGACTGGACTACGCAACAAGAAGCCGATAGTAACATCACTTCTTTCATAAACTTTCATTACGTGCTAAAAAATTTTATGCAAACAAAAGTTACTAAACCTGCTTTCCCCTTAAGTTTAGAGCAAAAGCTCAACATGAAATCAAGGCATGATTCGAACAAGCTGTGACTTCTTGAGTCAAATAAACTAGAGTACTATTGGTCATAAGCCTAAAACTTGCCATAAAGCTCTGAGGCCATAAAGTAAAACTGGCACTATCAACTTGGAAAAAATGCTCAGCTCTTGTGTTAGTTACATAACAAGTGAAAGAGTAGGCAGAGTAAATAAAATATTTGCCAAGCTTCTTGAGACGTTAAAAGAACAAACAGGTTTACATTTATGATGCTCTGAGCTAATAATCAATTAAGACCGACTATTGACTGCACATAAAGTTGGTCACATGAATGAATCTTTATTTGTATTGTTCCAATCTAGCCATAAAAACACTACTCCCATAAAAATATTTTTAAAATACTACTATGATTTTTAAAAAAGGTATTTCAAAGAATGTTTCAAAGTTATTATTTAATATGGATTTTTTTAAAGACAAGTTTTTACAGTGACGCTGCATGTACTCTTATTAAGCTTTCCAGTAGAGTGAACACTACTACTTATACTTGATGCTCATGCAGCTCAGTAGGGAAAACTATTACTTCCACAACCTGCAGCATTTGGTCTATATAACATGAGCTTTGTTCCTTCATTGACCTCCTTTTACAGCAACCTAGCTTTACATGATTGTCATGTACATATTGTTTCTGATGACAACATTCTGCTACCATTCAGAATCAAATTGAGACCAGGTTCAGGTATAGAAAGATGCCCCACCCCTTTCTCACTTAAACAACCCATCAGTGAAACAAGTAACTTTTTCATTATTAAGGTCACCAACTGCTCGGAATGAACTTATATCTTCCTTAATGAACGCAACATTAGCAGTTAAAAAGCAAGAAACTGAGGAAATGGTCATTTTTTGTTGCTTGGATCTCCGGGGGAAAAAAATTCAACTTATAAAAGGCAAATTTTTACAATTTTAAAAGTTAATCAATCGCAGTCAACTGGAGTTTTAAAAACTGCACATAGCAATAGGTGAGTTAAAATTTGACTACTGGCCAATGACCAAATTTTATTTTCAATTACATACGGTGACATTACCAGACACTAAATTGCAAAACCCATAATCTCATCCTTTAAAACTCCCCATTTTCCTGGTATATAATTGTAGTTCTCATTTTTCTAGTGCCACCAACCACATGAGCATATTTGCTTGACTTACTTAACCTGTTTTATTTTGTTACTATATTAAGGCAGACCTGGTTCTAAATAAATTAATTATAGTACAGGCCCGTTGTGTTCTCTGTTCTCAACAAAAAGATTGGCAAATACAAGATGAAATAAAAGATTACTTACGAGCATCTCCAAACATAGCTTGAACATCTTCGTCTTCATCATCGATCTCGATCACCTCGAACTGACCACCATCACCTGAACCTTCGCCTTGCTCTGCATATGAAGACTGGGGATAAGACATGTCGTCCCCAGCCTCATCATATTCAGCAGGCGCTTCTGAGTTCTCAGCAGTCACATTATCATCAGTTTGTTCAGCACCAGCAGTAGTATCTTCCGACATAGTCTGACCATTGTCAGCTGCTGACTCGGACTGAGCCATATCGAACGAGGGAAATTCACCTTCTGCATCTTGAGCTGAGTCGCCAGGCTCTGGCTGCTCAGCATCTTCACCTGACTGCTGAAGAAAAGTGTCTTTGAGGTCAGTGTTTGCGTCTTCTGATGGCCCGGCAGATGGATCTCCTTCACTTTCCGGCACAGCATCAGGGTCTGCTTTAATATTGAGTTTGCTGTCTAATGAACTGTCACCATTTCCACCTTCACTTTCTCCTGCCACGCCAGCTTCACTTTGTCCTGCACCACTCTGGTCTTCAGAATCAAATAACTCTTTCTTAATATTTACACCACTATTTGAAACAGGGATTTCTGGTTGAAGGAATGATGAATCAGATGTACTGGGAACTTGTGAAGATTGTGTTTCAAATGAGGAAGTATGCGATGAGCTGCCACCGTATGGCTGTTCATGAGGTAACGGGTAAGAGCCTCTCCCCCCACGAGAATGTTTCCTGGGAGAGGCCCTCCAGTCTCTTTCCATCCCACTCCATGCTCGCTTTTGAGCACCGCGTAAAGCATGGGTTTGTGAATAAGGAAAGGCAGATCTGTGATGTAGAGCACCGGGATACGGATGAGCACCTCGATGACGACTAGATGAAGGGAATGACTGCACTTGCAATTCCGCAACAGGGGAACATGACCCGTCGCGTGTCTGTTTTGGTTGATCTTTTTTTGCTAAGAAGCTATTGCTCACGAAAGTCATGGAATTTGTGGTGCTTTTGAGCACTTTTTCATTCAACACATAGTCCACTTTGCTCCCACAGTCAATGTTAACATTGATATAGCCAACAATTTCAATTCCCGAATCAAAATCCATGCAGCCATGACATAAAGCTTGCAAGGATTTGCTCAAACTCGAAATAAATCGATTCGCAACCGCCACATCTAGAGGTAATTCAGGCATCTTTTTTGATTTCTGAAAAAAAAAAAAGACTTTGATGAACAAAATACAAACATTCATTTTAATCAAATACCCAACAACAACAAAAATCAACACCACAGTGACTTTCAAAGAAATAAACAGCCTCTGAATCTGGTATGGTGATGACAAATTGACATTCAAACAATCTCAGTCTTAGTTTCCAAACACCCAATGAACTGATGTAATCACAAAACAAGTTTCAAGAACTACTGAACCTGTAAATGAACAGAATTTATACATTACCTTATTACTCCCATTTGAAAATAAAATGAATGCGACGAGTCCTAAGAAAATACTAACTCGAAACTCCGCATCATTCAGTTTCAGTCTTCTTATGGCTTATTTATGGCATGACAGATGGAATTGTAGAAACCAATTTTACAAATGCAGCTTTCAAATTCTTCAAGCATACCCTGAAGTAAAAACAAGATCAACAAAAACAAAACGAAAAGAGCCCAACACTGTTGCCAGATGCTGTGGAGCTTGGACCACAAAAAATCAAAAAGGCAAAGAGTCCATCTCAATTCTTGACCTGAAAGTAATCACATCATACCCATGGGCTAATCAAACCTCAAGATTCCCCATGGTAAATTTGGGGTAGATTTTTACTTTTACTGCCGCACACAGATGGGGGTCAAACTGAAGTATTTTTGCTGCAGATCACACATGTATTGTATAGCCCCTAGAGTCACTAAAAATGTAACAAAACAACAATTTTCAAGAACACTTCGAATCAAACCTAACTGTAAAACATCAAATTATAGCTTTTACCCCCCAATTTTTTTTTACTTCAGGGGGGGGGGGGGGCACTACCCGAAACCCCCCGATTGGTCTACAGTGCAGAAATTAAATTATGTAATTAGGCTTTGTGTGATAAAATTCGATTAATTTGCAACGGTGTGCTAGGTGCTCTCTGTAGCTTCATGGGCATGGGTTTTTTAAAATTCATGTACCCTTATGTTGGAATATTCTAAAACACTTCTCTTGTTAATTTTTATCTTGACTTTTACATCCATTGCAAATTATTAGTTTGAGATATGGATTTTTTATACGCACAAGATATATTTAAGTCACAATAAGACCAAAAATTGCCAAAATGACTGGTAATATTTGACTTGTTAACATGGGGGGGGTCAGGGCCCCCTGACCTAAAAAGAAGGCCTGCTGTATTTCTCCGAACGCTCCGGAAAATAAACTTGAACTTTATATCTCCTAACGGTTTCCGCACTCCAGATTTGTTGATAATCTGCGAAAGGTGGAGTGGTCCATGCGCGCGCACGCGTGTGTGAGTGAGTGTGTGTGTGTGTAGACTTTTAAGGAAGGTGTGAACAGGGTGTGGAGGGATTTTATTTTTGTTTACATGAAGGATTTTAGTGTTGGCCACCGCTATTCTCACCCCGGGTGAGAATAGCGCAGGCGAGTCTTTTGGCTATTCTCCCCCTGTGTGCGTTCACCGCTATAGCCTAGATCTAGGCCAACCAATTTTGCTTTCACCCTGAACCACAGAATTCTACACTTTGATAACAGAAAAATTGTAGAATTCTGTGCCGTGAACAAACGTTCCATTACTACTTTTAGCCTAAAGGCGTACAACAGGGTTCCTGCCATGAACTTCCCATCAAATTCAAGGTTTCAAGGAGAAAATTTTAAAATTCAAGGAGGTTCGGTCAACAAATTCATGACGAAAGCCTATTTTCGATAGGCCTACACTTGTCGGAAAGGAATCATATCATACTTTCAATTTTCCTACAAAAACTGTTCCCAGGGTGACTGCCAACCCGGCTTCTCAATTTTCCAGAAGGGCTCATCCATTATCCAGGGGCATGTTACATAGTAATGACAGTGCAAGCTCCATTTATATTTGATATATAATACATACACACACGCGCGCGTGCACGCACACATGCATGTAGGTACATTATATCCAGTCAATAAAATGTCAGTGTTGGCACTGGGATACTGTGTGACTTAGGTATTTCAGTCTGTTCTTATACGAGAGAGAGAGAGAGAGAGAGAGAGAGAGAGAGAGAGAGAGAGAGAGAGAGAGAGA